AGTCTTCTCCTGTTTTTGTTATCTTAGGAAGGTAAGATGATTGTAATTTATTTCATGTTTCTTTAAACAGGAAAGATGATTCCTAAAAAAGATAGACTATTTTATTTGTTGTTTTGGCCTGAGGTCCAATCTGAAGTCCTACAATCGTGTTACATGATTTATTTTATTATTATCAGAAAGGTTAATTCTCTGAGATTTAAATTTTACAGATTATTGGAGGATATTTGGAAATATAAAAAATTGCAGATAAGGGAGAAGATACACCAAGAGACAATGGGACTTTACTGCAACAATCAAAAGTTCACTTAATTTAATTTGAACATTAATTACGGAAAATGGACTCATGAAAAACAGGATGGGTTACATCTCTAGATTTCATTTCAAGATACTGGTCAGTTTTCTTTCCTCTCAGGATCACATCTGATAGTGAGATTTAAGGACACTGGGAAAAGGACTGCCCTCACTCTAGATCAGCATCAGCCATTGACACATGAACGATATGCGAGGCCCAGGGGACCACGACAACCAAGGAGCAGTCTGACTGAACTCAAATATTAAGGGAGGTACATGAAAGAGTAATGAAAGGACAAAAGGACCAGCGAACTCTAGCTAAACGTCGAAACAATGCAACTCCAAGGAGCGACCAGCAGATGGATGACAGAGAGGACCAGATGTGATGAAAGCATCACAGGGGGGAATGGGATCCCTCTCCAATTGAATTAGATAAGTCAAACACTACATACTACAATAGGATTGGAATAATATGAATATTACTTTCTATGATTAGGGTTACTCATTTTGAGGGGATGGATTGTAAAGACCGGTGACCCCAGGCATGAGACTGCAAACCTTCGACTTCCACCTGCAGAATACTAAAGGCGGGAACCGGTGATCCTGTGTTCATGCCTTTAAAAGCCAAGGACAGGGCCCTGAAGTGAAAGAACTATATTTTGATTTTTTCAACAGGAAAGAAGACAACACAAGTATCGATTATTCTTGTATTCTGCAAATATAAACCTGATGATTGTAACATGCCATTGCTTTGCATTATAACCTGTATTACTGTTTTAGAATTTTACATTGTAAACCATCCATAGCAGGCTGTTTAGAGGAGTACTGAGTGACTGACTTCTGAGTTTTATTATTAATTATGATACTTAGTAATGGTTAGTTAATGGTTTCATTTAAAGGTTTATATCCCCCAACTTCCATCCATATCAGGCTGTGTCCGTAACGCTAATATTTCATTTTTTCACTTAAACTTCACACACATGTAAGTGCACTTAGTCGCTTAATATTCACATCATCATGTAACATCACAAAGTATTTCATCTGCAATGAACTACAGGGGGGAATGTAGTATTCAATTCAATTCAGTTTATTTATATAGCGCCAAATTCACAACACATGTCATCTCAAGGCACTTCACAGTTTTATTGTCTTATATCAGAAATCAGAATCAGAATATATCCTACAACATGTTCCTATACTTACTTAGCAACAAAACAGTATGTCTTGAAGTTCAAGTATGAGTCTTAGCAATAATAAAGTCTCTAATGCTGGCTGGCTTGCCAAACAAGGAAGCAGTTTTACTGCGTTATGTAGTCCTGTTTCTGACCTTATGCCCACTTAGCAACACAGAGATTGCAACATGTAAACAGGGAGTCTGCAAGCTGGAAG